TATAGTACAGTACAGCACAGCATAGCATAAGTGTAGCATAGTATAGTGTGGCATAGTATAGTACAGTACAGTACAGCATGGTATAGTATGGTACAACATAGTATAGCATAGTATGGTATAGAATAGTAAAGTTCAGTATAGTATAAGCTTAGCCAGGGGCGCAACTGCGTACTTTCTGAGGTGTTTGTGAACACATCATCTCCCCCACCGTCCCTCTCCTGGCCTGGGTCTAGTATGTCCATGCAGCTCTCCCTTAATCACGCACTTAGAAAATAGACTAATTCTATTATGGACTTTCTCCAGCAGAGTTTCAACTGGCCAATCAGAAAACAGATGGAGAAGTTGTAAACGACGACATACGTCTGCCTGCAGTTTCAGCAATGGCAACAGAGGAAGTGTAAAGTGTGAAGCGTAGTGCAGTATTGCTAAATATAGTAGAGTATGGTATAGTGAAGTACAGAATAGCACAATGCAAAATGTTTTACCCACAATATTATAGTATAGTATGGTGTAGTATAGTGTTGTGTTTAGTAGCATTTTATTGTCTCCATTCATTAATTTTTCCCCATGACTTTAATTTCTATTTTTAAGTAAAGTGTTGATGGTGTTGTTCCCCTGCAGTCCTTTCAAAGCTGCTTCACCGTTCTTCTGGTGACAAACTTAGAAACATTAACCCAGGCCTTTATTTGCGTTGAGGCTGCCCCAGATTGCCTCATGACCTCACGGGCCACACTTTTTCTCCCGGAGCAATCTTTGTTGGTCATCCACTCCTGAGGAGGCTAGCAACTCTTTTGAATTTCCTCTTTTCGTACATAATTCTGAGTGTGTGCTCAAGTACAAAGTCATATTTATGTGGAAACCGACAAATTCTAGAGGGCTGACATCCTGCCAAGTGCCAGTGACATCATTCAGTATTTACGAAAACACTTAAAAGTGCAACAAAAACCAGTCGTAAATTGCGAGTCTTTATTGTTGCAACACACATAAGCAGTAGTTTTAACTGCTCCCTGAAACGGGAATGACAGATCTTGCTTAGTTTTACCTCTATGCTATGTAGTAATGTCAGCATCAGTTGTCTTCATGGAAACCAGGATTAAACAAAATGTCAGATTACGATTAATGCAGGGTGTAGCTTCAACAGACTGCAGTTTGGGCAATCAGCTACTTCTGGAAGAGCGTGCTTGTTTATGTTTTTAGTGGTGGGAAGCAAAGGCAGCAGTGAATGACAGGGCATGCCCCGTGGCTCACCCCTTCTGTCATGTCTGTCCCATGGAGCAACTCGGGCACCAGGGACCTGTCAGACCGACAGCCGTCCCACAAACAGGGTCCAGAGGGCCTCTGTGGAGACAAAAAAAAAAACAACTAAACTAAAACTCATCAACAACCAAAGAGCGCAGCTGACACCGGGACGCCAACAGTCTCCGCAGGCCTGTCAAAGCCGCGTCGAGAGGCCGAGAGGAGGTCCGGAACCAGCACTTTGGCATTTGTGGGGAAAACACTTTCAAAATCTTTGAGAGTATTAGACAAAGTTGCAGCCACATTCAGAGCCAGAACAGCTGTGCTTCCTCCCAACTATAGTTAACTAGGGTGGAGAGAGCAAACAGAAAATTAAAATTCCGTCTCTGTTCTGAAATTACCAATCTGTGGTTCACTGGAGCTAAGACTGTCTGCTGCGGTTAGCCACACACTTAATGTCTAAACAGCTTGAGCTCTTTTTTTCCCCTGTGCTTGGCACGGGGGGAAAACACCAGAGCAGGAGACACTTCTCCTTCACCTTGAGGATGGAGCCTGGCCAGAATGATGTCCATGAATCTAAGAACTGCTCCGCTGCAAGGCCTTTCTCCCTTTCTCCTGCATATGGCAAATGATCACTTTAAGTTGAGAGTGTGGCGTTGCAGAACATTTGCTGTTCTAAACTTCCTGTGAGCTTAAGTAAGCAGAAAAAAAAACAGTGCAATCGCATCTACAAGCTTCAACCTCTCAGGAGCCTTTCTCCTGTATGCATGAAGCTGAGAAGAGATGAATTATTGATGACACGTCGCCTCTTAGAGAGGAGACGGAGATGAAGAGCGTGTCATCTGCCGCTGCTGGCAGAGAACACGAGGCGGACATTAATCAGGCTTCTCTGTTCACCAGCTAACCCTAACCCTTTGTCCGAGTTGGGTAGAGACTAGTTACGTTTACTCAATTACATTTGCTTGAGTAACGTTTTTTTTTTTTGGGGGGGGGGTTGTACTTTTAGGAGTAATTTTACTATGAAGTATCTCTACTCTTACTTGAGTACAATTTCACAAACATGTTGTAACCAAATATTCACCCGACAAAGACACACACCTGCAATTTTTGTTAGTTTTATAAGTTATATAGTGAAAGAAACAGATTTTCTTCTGCCTGATTTTGCTATTTTTTTGGTACTTATGTGAATTATTGTCATTTTTGTCCTTAAAGTACCAAAATTTTGACTTAGCTTAGCTATGTTTTGGTCCATCTGATGATATTATTTCTAAATATTTAATGGCTTCTCAATACTTGAGTAGACTTTGTACCAAATACTTTACTCTTACTTAAGTAATTTCTTGCATGGCTACTTCTTACTTTTACTTTAGTAAAAATATGTTGAAGTAGTGCTACTCTAACTCGAGTACAATTTTGGGGTTCTCTACCCACCTCTGATCTTTGTAAACAAGACATATAATCACCCAAGTAGCCCTAAAGAAAGCACATCCACTGAATCTTTTTAAGTTTGTTTGGAAAACTTTTAATTTTCCTTTGATATTTTTTCTTTTTTTCAGTGAGTCAAGATTATCTCTACAGCACATTTAAACAACTAACAGTTCGAAGTGAACTGGTACAAAAACGGATACAGTGGGAGGAGAAAATATTTGATCCTTTCCTGATTCTCTAAGTTTTCTCACTTACAACCAGAAACAAACTCTCTTCAGTGTGGAGAGACAGAAAGTCAGTGACAAATTCTGAAAGATATGTCAGCTTAGTAAAATATTTGGTTGCATGTAATTGCGAGGAATAAATAAATATAAGTATTAGAAATAACTATTACCAGACATATTTGCTTGTTTGCGTTCACACACTTACAAACTTGAGTGAAATCCCATTCTCGATCAGTAGAGCTTACAATATCAGCTCACTTGTTGCAGCATCTCTTTGGAGAAGGCTTTTCACAACTTTTAGGAGGGCTTACATGTTTTTACTTCCAGAGATGAATTTTGATGTTGGCTAGAAAGCCTGGCTGCTACAGTTCATCCCATATGAACCAGACTTTACACTTGACAAAGCAATAATTACCAAAGCACCGTTCTCCTGCCAAACCCAGACTCATCCATTTATGGTAACTACCAGACAGAGAGGCAGGCAGGCACGGTAGATCAATTCAGGCATCAGAATGGATCAACGGTGAACAACCTTTTCAGTTCAAAGAGAGATGAGATATTTCTCTTATATTCGACTCTTTTTTTTTTCTTTGCTACGATTCATTTTGCCCCCAACAAAACAAGCCGATGCACTGAATATGGGACAAGAAATTGGTCAA